GTGCTGGCCAAGCAGGGCAGAGATTGTAGAACGTGGAGTTATCAGGTTAAGTATTAGGAGCCAGACTCAATGAAACTGATTGACGCCCACTTCTGCCATTTGCTATCGGAAAACCTTAAGACACACCTTCTGTCTTGTTGGGGCTAACTATAGGTTGCAGATACTTTCCAGTAGATTTCTGCCAGCTCTATTCTTTTAGATCAAATCTTTCTCTTTTTTAAAGTAAGCTCAGATTGCCTTTTAATATGCCAATCAATGTTAGTAAGACACAAGTCAAACAGACAAGTGCAAACATGTTTTAAGCCAAAATCAAGAAAACAAAAATACACATTGGTTTGGCAAAATATATTGCCCATATTATCAGTGAAATGGCAAAAAGGAGGTAACATATATTTAAAAAAACCCTGAAATATTCAGAAGTCATTCTGGCATTGCAAACAGCTCTGTACACTGTTACCAAACCTTCCTGAGAAAAAACATTTTAATCATCTTCTGTGATTTTATGACAGGCATCCCAACATCCTCAGACGTTAGGAGTCTGCATGGCTTAGCATATGTGTCACAGACCAACATGATCAGACACTAAAGAACAATACAGACCCTAAAGGACTACTTGTCTTCATGAATATTTTCTGGTTACATACACAACAATATTTTTCAAAATTAATGCTCACACAATTCCTAAATGGGTACATATTGTTGAGTCAGAAATGAAACATAGTTAATACCTGAATTCACTTGCTTTTTAGTCACTTCATTGTAACTGGCAGTAAGTGAAAAACTAGACCTAGAATAAGATCTGTAATAACTAGACCCCAGAGTCTTGTAGCTATCATAATTACCCACATTTACTTATCTATGCAAATCTTATCGATTGACTTAAAGCTGACTGAAAAGGCCTGATTAGTTATGGTTTAGAAATTCACGTGCATCATAGGATTATATTTAATACAACACAGGTTGTGATTAAGTCACAGGAGAATTCCCTCAGTGTGAAGGCCTCCTTCCCAACCCTAAAATACAGTGCATTTTGAAAGAGCAGTGAAGCCACTGATGCGAACATTTTCTCTACAATATCACTGCCAAACAGCATTTTAACTACAGGCCATGAAATTAAAAGAGCAGACCATGACTGGCAAGGAGTTATGGGCTCTTCTTACTTTGGAGAAGATGTCCGTACAGTAACTTCTAAGAGAGTAATGAAAATTTAATCTTTCAAATACCTACCATGAAGAAAGAACTCTTTTCACTTGTGCCCACAATACTCCAGCAACGTAAGACTTCTATTCAGACTCAGAGAGGTTAACACAGTGCAGGCAGTTTGTAATGCAAACGGAAGGCAAGCAGGTGAAAACAGCACAGCAGATGTCTGACCCGGGAAAGCGTCCGATGGCCGCATCCTCCAACCTGACACTGTACGTGTGGTCCACAGACCCACAGACGGGCGGCACTGGCTTGCCTGGAGCTTGGGAGTGCTGTTCCAGGCCCCATCCCAGATCGCCACTCTAAACACGACCCTTCAGGCATGCAGTTAAGTTTTGTAAACATACTATAGTGATGGGAAAATAGTTTGAAAAATGAAGGCAAATAATATCATAACTTGTAACTGCAAGGAAATCAACCCAGCTCACATATTTTTACGCCATAATTACAGCAAATCATCTCTAGACTGGGGCTCAAGTGGGGGCACTGTATGTTATTTTATTTTTTAGTTTTTTGCATCTTCAGAATCTAGTAAAATGCCTGGTTCACAGTGGGCTGGTAACAAGGGATGGATACATGATGATGCAATAAAAAGCAGGCATCTTAGTGGTGCTACGTTACCTGATAACAAAAGACAGTACAATGAAAAGTACAGGGACATTCAATAAAAATGAATGAAAAGCAGAATAAGTGAAAGTATGAGAAAAAGTTGCTCAAATAGCAGGGAAAGTTTGCTCTGTGCCTAGTGAGGAAGACATACGTTGAAAAGAGCTCAAGTGTGGAGATCTACAACCTGACAGTTTGTAGTTAAGAGTAAACTTGACTTAGTAATGTGTAGTTTCCATTATCCTGTTCGCATTTTACATTTTATTAGGATTCTGTACTTTTTTGATTTTTTCCTATGGAAGAACCTAAAATATGAAAATGTTTTAAGGGAAAGACCACCTGGAAAAACTGAGCACTAGGTAGCAGCCAGGGAATGCTGTCATTTAATAACAGCTGCTGACAAGGGTGAACTCTGCAGGGGGAGTATGAGCTTGGCTACGCACAGGTAGGCCAGATGTTAGAGCAAGGGGGTGTCCCGATGGCCCCCTGTACTGCAGACAACACTGACGAGGTTCAGGGATCCCAGGCCACCCACACTTCAGGTCACAACCCCTGCTGTACAACTTACTAGAAAAATTTCTGGAACGCTAGACAATGTTTACTTTCTATCTCAGTCTTACTGTAGAGGTTAGAAGTCGAGAGCAGTTAAGAGACCCACGGGCCACACTGGGGAGGGCTGCACGTTCAGGTCCCAGGGTCTTGGGATGCATCACTCCCTGCTCTGGGCTGTGCCGTACTCACCAGGAAGCCCTCCCAAGCCAGTGTATGCTTCTGTGAGAGTGTCACCCTTTGACCTACACGATGGGCTTCAACATTTTACTTTCACTCAGGATGTATTTGGATCACAGGACTTTTTACATTAATTTTGGTGACTGTTGTTAAATGGTCACAAGGGTACAACAGACAGAAAATAGGAAGTGGAACAAAGCTAGATCTGAAATCCAGTCTGTCACCAGGTAGTAATGGGATCTGGAACTGGCAGATACTGAATCTGCTTCTTTTCCCTTTATATTTGCAAAACTGCAAGCAGTAACAGTCGCATCTACTCAGAGAAGCAATGAAGGGCTCTGAGCACACTGGCCGAGGGACCGGAGCTCTGGCTGTGCAGGGCTGGAAGCAGCACTGTAAGATGAGACAGCGACACTCAGGCACCAGGTTGTGAGGATTAAGGAAATCACCGCGCACAACAGCGTTTATGACAGTGCCTGCTGCCTAAAAAGCACTAAAAATCAATACTTGCACGTACTGTTTTCAATTCACTTCAGTTGCTGAGATGAAATAATACCCATAAAATATCGTATTATAAAATCTGGCCTGCAGTCAGGGTTGATTTCCTTCACAATAGAAATTATTCTATTGTTTCATATTTTACTACAAGTAAGGTGAAATTTACATCCATCTAAGGCCAACAGAGTAGAGTAAAAAGTGTGAAGCTGGCAGTTATTTTTAAAAATGAGTTGGTAATAGATTTATAGGTAAAACATTAGAAAAATGTGAGTAAAATAAAAATTATATTTTATCAAGCATTTGGAAAAGTAAACCTAAGTTTCTCTCCCCCTGCTGGTTTTTTTTTTTTTTTTTTTGACAGGATCTCACTACATAGTTCAGGCTGTCATTAAACTCACTATGTAGCCCAGGCTGGCCTCAAACTCTTGATCCTCCTGCCTCAGTCTCCTGGTCCTTGGATAAAAGTCAGCACCACCATGCCTGGCTTTCTTCTTTTTTTTTTTAAGGTTTTTATTATTATTATTATTAATTTTTTGGTAAAGAATCTCACTCCACAGCTCCGATTCATAGTGATCCTCCTGATTTGTGCCTCCCTAGTGCTGGGATTACAGTCGCTATTTTTTTTTTAAAGTACAAATACTTAGTCGTAAAGAGTTTGAGGCTGCATAATGAAATATATATTAAGAACACCTCAATTGAAGATATGAAAAATTTAAAAATGAATATGACAGAATGTGAACAAAAAGAAACCAGGAATACTTCCATTACTACGGGCTCTGCTGGACCCACACAGGCAAGGGAACAGGGAAAAGTAGCCATCAGAATACAGTGGAACTTTAAGAGTGAGACTAAAGACCCCTAGTATCACATGACACAAAAGCATGTCCAATAATACAGTTACTAAGACTTCTTTGACCACTATCATTTATATTAAAAAAGGAAGACTAACAGGACATTTTTAAATACAGTGGAAACAATCCCAAAAATTACCACCAAAAAGGAGGGTTATCTTTATCAGTTTATACATAAAACCATGTAAGCAGTTTTGTAACAGTCTGAAAGTTTCTTTTTTTTTTTTTCAGAATCGGGGATTGAACTCAGGCCCTGGCACCTGCCAGGGAAGCGCCTATTCCACTGAGCCATCTCCTCGGCCCCTAACAGTCTGAATGTTTACGTCTTTCCTTGGCCCTGGTCCCAATTCACGTGTTAAAGTTCCATCCTGCAAGGAGGATCCACCTATGAGGAGGTGGCCTTGGCGAGATGACTGGGTAAAACTCAGGAACTGGGTTAGTGCCCACCGCAAGACGACACAGCAAGAGGGCACGACCTCTGCGGCCAGAAGCGGCGCTCACCAGGCCCCACATCGGCCCGGGCCTGCACCTGAGACTTCTCAGCATCCAGAGCTGGGAGGAAGGCATTTCAGGTGTTTGTGATGTGTCCACGTTATAGTATTTTATTGCTTGAATAGACAGAGAATACTGTCTATATAAATCTGTTAAGTTTATCCTATCTCATCTTCAAACTTTCAAATTAAATTTCACTTTTGTAAGAAAAGCTAGGATTTTATTTGATAATAACGTAAGACATCAGGGCTGGCAAAATAGCTCAGTGGATTAAAGCACCTGAAAGCAGGCACAGGGGCCAGGGGTTCAATCCCCGGCCTGTCAGAGCCGGCCCTGCCCCCGGGGCACACTTACACAGCAATTGAACCTGGGCGTGGTGGTGTGCACCTGCAATCCCAGCTCTTGGGAGGCTGTAAACAGGCGGATCACTATGACTGCGATCTAGCAGTAAGACCCTGAACACCTTGCAGACCCTTCCCTATAATAGAAAAGTACAAAAATAAAGAAGACATCAGTTACTTTTTTTTCCCCTGTATTTAGGGCAGGGTCTACAGGGTATTCAGGGTTTCATTATGTAGACTGGACTCGTAGTGATTCTCCTGTTTTTAGCCTCATAAGTGCTGGGACTACAGTTACTTTCTTTCAATTAAAAAGAAAATCCAAATCATTACTCTTTCGGCCGTTTTTGTGAACAGTAGCAAATGTTCCTGTTATGCATACTTACAGGATGGTGATGACTTTTACTGTCTGACCTACACTGTATGTGAGACTTAAGCTGCTTTCCCAGAATACTTTTCTAGTGTGGGAACAAGACCTAAATTTTATAGCCCATATTAAGCTTTATACCAACCCCTATTTCCTTCTATAACAAAATCCTACTAACATTCCTTAAAAATATCACAGAATAATTTTATTTATAATGAATATTCTCTCTAGACTTAAATCATCAACTTACTCTTATAACAGAGAATCAATTCAAGTAACACCAGCAAAATGGAATGAAGAGAACACGATGTGATATTACATATTAGTGTCTTCGATATGCCACAGTGATACCCAGCTGGTCCTGCAGCATGGTCCAGTTCCGGTGAGATTCTCAGGAAGCTGCTGGGACGACCCTTCACACTGACACTTTTCCTTAAGCTGTGCTAGATGCAGCTTTGGTTCTTTCAGAAGTCAAAGAGTAAAACAAGTGCTCTGAAGAAAGGCTGAGGCCACAAAACCACATCACATGTAATAAATGGCCAGTTTGCCTTCGGATCCTTTGGTTTGGGACACATTCTTTTGAAAAGTTAATTAATGATTTTCCCTTGAAGTTAATTTTTAAATAGGACAAGGCAGTGCTTACACCGTCTGTGCCAACGCCCTTGTCTTTCTTGTTTCCACCACCCTGTTTATCAGGTCATGCACTGATGGCAGTCTTATTTTGTCCATATTCTTGCTGTACACATTGAGAAATATGCCCAGGACCACTAACAAGCCAGACCACACGTACCTGTGCGGAAAACGGAAGAAAGATTGGTAAAGCTGACAAGGCCAACACTTTATTCTTAACAGAATTTATGGTCTAGTAATAATAATTCTTCAACAGAATAAAAATTTGCTAGCAGAGGCCTATGATAACATTACTAAAATAAAAATAGTATTCTTTGGTCAAATTAGATATATAGAATTTTGCATCTTTCATGTTCAATGTAAACAAAAATGTATTTTACAAAATATTAAACAAAATAAGGTTCACTTCCTTTGGGGATTACAGTGTATTCAAAGTTTAACCCCTAGCACAGACTTAAAACAACAGATAAATACATCTGCCACAGGCCACCTTGGGATTCAGCTCATGGTCACCTGGTTATCTCAGCTGGGTAGAACACAAAAGGAGAAAAAGGAAGATACATCCCGCAGGAAGCAGGCCGTCAATCACTGTGATTTAATTACCATAACATATAGTTTGCTCATTTAAAAAAATTAATTTGTAGACAACCAATATTCTACAGTACAGTGATGAAAATTTTAGTTACCCTAAACTATATTTTGCTAAGTTTAGGTTTGAAACTTTATAATTATTGATCAACATAAGTTTAAACAATGTCAGCTTCCAACACCAGACAGTTCTGAAAAGGGCAAAGGCTTTTACAGAAAGTCAAAACCAAAATTAAGTTATCAGGACACAACTTACAGAATATTTCTCTACTGCAAGCCCTTTGTGGAAAGAGGCCATAAATAAACAAACAGTTCTAAAAGCACATCCTGCAAATACAGAACTAATATACTCACACACGAGCAAGAGGAGATCCCTTATTCCCAACAGTTTATATATCATTTGGATTTAGTCCTATTGGAAACAACATCATCCTGCTTATGCATTTCAAGCACAGAAAACAATGAAGTTGAGACAACAAATTATAAACATTTTTGAGATAGCAGATCTATCAACAGATAGGTCAAGATGAAAAGGAGTCTCCATAAATCAACAGGGAAAAATATTCACTAATTTATATAAAAATCAACATACTGCAAGAAAAGTAAATGTTGAAAATAAGGCTGTTTAAGAGCAAATGTGAAACCCAATACCTAAAAATTAAGAAATGAAATAAAAAGTACTTACTGAAATGTGAAAGGTTTAGCAAAGAATATAAATGAAAGTACAATGGTCATTGCTTTCCTTCCTGTTGTCACTGTAGGGACAAAAAACTGGTTCAGAATGTGCTTATTACTCCCTTGGTAAAATTTTGGAAACCATTTATTCGCTAAATACATACAGTCCACCACACGACAGAAAAATGGCTGTGAGGCGCCAGGAACAACACAAAGTAAAAACCAGCCGAGCAGCAGCACTCACTGCTCCCGCTGCTGCATGGTTTGCAGCTTGACCTTATTCACCTGAACATCCCGAATGCACCCTTCCAGGAACTTAATACTCAATGCGTGAAGAACCGGACACGATGAAGAAGCTGCTCTGGAAGCGTGTGAGGATCCAGCTCTGAGTACCAGTTTTAAAGAGAAGGGCACCTATTTTCAGCTGGGCATACCATCTAGCCCCTCACGCCAGGCACGCGCAGGTGGCGAGGCTGCGTCCAGTGACTTCAGAGCACATGTGCTGTTTCGGGGCATGGGGCTTTTTAGGTTTCCAGAAAGAGAAAGGTTTATATCCTCTTCACTCTGTCCACTGCCTCGCAGGAGGATGAAGTCGGCACAGCAGGAGGAAGAGCCCGGTTTCTGATAGCTATAGAGCCACCGCGGCAGCCAGGCAGCAGCTCAGCACTGGGGAAGACGCAGCCAGAAAGCCCAAGGGTCTTGCTGGACTCCTCTTGCCACCAGCCAATCAGGAGACAAGCCACTTACCATCCCTGTGCCTCAGCCCATGTATGGGTAAGATGGAACCACCACATGGTGCCTACTTCTTGGCGGTGTGGTGAGATTAAAGTAATTTACATAAAACATACAGACGGGCTTTGGGTACACAGTAAGGACTATGTATGTATACATTGGATATTACTATTACTACCTCGGGCTTTCTTTTACAAGACTGAGGGAAACACACACACACACATCTCACAGTTCTAGGACATGACACAGCACACCCAGTCAGGGGCATTCTCCTTGCACTTCTCCTGCAAAGCAGATCAAGTGCAATGTTCATTCCTACAGAGCTCCGAGCAAAGTCCCTGCCCAGAATAGCAACACTTATTACCAGGGACGAGCAAACCTAAAAAGTCAATGAAATTAAAAGGTCAAAAAAACCTTCATTTAAAATGCACATTCAAAAAGCAAGAAAACTGGAACAATAATAAACTAAAAGCAGCAAAGGCAGTAGTATTTTCTTTGGAAGTATTCATCCCACCCTACTTGAGCAACAAGTTCTAACATACTTGACTTTAAGACTGACCTTAAAGTCAAACCTTGAGGACAAGGGCTATAGTTTGGTGGTAGAGAACCTGTCTAGCATGAGTGAGGCCCTAGGTTTGATTTCTAGCAACAATTAAAAAAAAAATGTTTAAAACTTCAAAACAGATAATTAAAACATCCTTTTCTGTAGAGTTTTAAAGAAACACCAGCCACCAAAGAACAAACTGGTAAAATATAGCTTTGTTTAATAAAGAGTTTATCTTTCAGCAAAGATCATCAGAGAAAATGCAAATACTTAGCTCACAGTCAAGCAAGTAAATCCCTCTTACCTGTTACAGCAAGAAGGGCGCCAAAAATTTTAATCAATGCCAAAACAAAAGAGATTCCAAAGTATCCAGTGAGAGAAAAAAGGAATGCATAACCGTAGGTCCGAAGTGGATTCTGCAAGAAATAAAAAAAGCTTGTTAGATGAACACAAAACAAGCCCTGAGGTATTATAACTGAAATAAACCCACAGATTTTAATCAACTTCTTGAGCAATAATAAGCTATTCAACAATGCAGTGAAGCAAAACTATTTGGTTTTGATTTAATGGAAAAGTAATGAAATTAAAAATCCTCCACTTCTATATTATGAACCACTTAAAAATTAACTAATAGGGTAGAGGAAGGAGAAAATAAATTTAAATACCAAACATTTCATTTCTGAAATAGTTTCTGATTTGCAATATTGTGTTGGAGAAGTTACCAAATTACATCAACAATAGCCCTTTTGAACCAGGGGAATTAGAAAAATAGAGAAAACTATTTATACAAGATATTTATTGAAAAAATGTGTTTAACATTTACCTTTGCACAAAATGTCATTGCAGGGCCTAGTCCACTAGTGCATGTCAATCCCAATAAAATGTACACGAAACCGATTGAATACGAATACAACACCTAGAGGAGATAAAGTGAACAGAAGCACTATCAAATCTAAAGGGAAAATTCAGGGTTTTAAATATACACTTCAGTTAATGTACTCAGTTACGTTCACAGAACAGTTTTACAATAACAGTGTCATTTCTATATGACCTGACTCTGTGATTTTAACAGTGTACAAGTTGATTATTTTACATACCAAATAATAGCAATACAGATCGTATATACATGCTTAATTATTCAATTCTTGTTGAGCTTAATTACTGAATTCAAGCCAGATTTTTAACATCAGCATTTCAACAATGTATTCTAGAAAAAGAAAACCCTTATAAAGTTGTATTTTTTATTTATATATTTAGCACAGGGTCTACAGGGCCCCACTACACAGATCGGACTCAGTCAGGGACGGAGTGAAAAGAACATAAACCTTCCTCTTTCTGGAAACCTCCTAAAAAGGTTTCTCCTGTTATAGCCTCCTAAGCACTGGGATTACAGGAACGTGCCAACAAGCCCAGTCTCAATGACACCTCAGTGGGTCGCACCTCAGAGGGCCCCGTGGGCAGGGCTGCCATGGCAGGATCAGGATCGAACCCTGGCCGCTGTGCTCTGCCTAAGCAGGCGTTTTAGTCTGCTGAGCTATCCGGCCCTCAATTTTTAAAATCCTAAATACCAAGTTTGCAAAAGATCCTGAAATGTAATCAAAGTCACAAGCTTATGGTACATTTACTGCTTTGTCTCCCTATTTTCCTACCCAACTCGGTGCTCTTCAGTCCTCTTTTTTATTTACAGGGCTCCTAACATGATCAGTGGCAGCAACAGCAGTGCCCAAGTGAACACCTGCTGTGTGTCACTCTGTACTGACTACTCACTAAGCTGGTTTCTAACACCCAATCTATGAGACAGCTGTTCTTAATCTAATGTTCATGAACCAATTTTCAAGTGAAAAAACGAAAACATGGAGCTGAGAGCAGTAAAGCTGGGACGTGAGCCGAGGCTGTCTTCTTTAGAGCCCACCATCTTCGGCATCACCTTACATTAGCTTTCTGACCACAGGCATTCTTTACTTCTCTCTGGGGCCATCCTTACCCAATTGAGAAGAGCAGTGATGATGGTCAAGAAAATCCCTATTAGGATTGATATCACTAGGATTTCATTTAGGACACCTTGCCCTGTGCTGAGGAAATAATAGGGACATGCCTACACATCCTTAGTGTCATGTCCCGTAAGAACTTGGTTATAAAACTAATGCATACACTCATGCATGCATGCACATACCCTATGTAGGTAAAGATGCTATTTACAGTAACAACAGAAAAACAAGAAATCCTAACAGCTTTAGTGAGAAATGTGTTGGATTTACATGGAGAAAACATAAAATTTTAATAGACAGAAAAAAGAAAAACATTTGAATAAAAGGAAAGTCATACCTTATTCTTGGACTGAAAGAATCAAGGGTATAGATGCCATTCTCCCTAAATTAATTTATTATTCAATGCCATACCAATCACAATACCAATGGGATTTCTAGTGTATTTGGGGATATGAGCACCCCAGTATAACTACTGGTAGTAATATTCTGAAAAAGAAAAGGAACAATGGTAGCTAGTCCTAACGGGTGTAAATGTATGATAAAACTGCTGCTGTTATATGTACTGGTGCAAAAGAAAGTCAAAAGAATTCAATTCTGAACCCTACAGTAGAATGTGTTATATAATAAAGAAGCCATTTAAAATAACCTGGAAAAGTGGATAATTCAACAAATACTGAGATAAATAAGTGGCCATATGGAAGATACTCTTCCTCTTTTTGCTTAAAGTTGCATTGGAGTAGGCATGGGTGAAATCTGTCAAATCTGAAGCAGTGGTGAAGACCTTTACAACCATGATACATAGCCAGAAGCTATGAAGGGAAAGACGAATTGGATAACATGAAGATTAAAAACCTCTATACAGAAAATACAAAGAGGACATGAAGCAGCAAAGAATTCTTAATAGACAAAAAAACTATAAATCAATGAGAAAAAAAATTGATCAAATAGCTAAAAGGTAACTACGAATGGAAGTGCTAGCTTTTTCTTTTACCTCCCCATAGCACTGTTGTTTTATGTATTTGGTACAGGGTCTTACTATGCAGCTTGGACTCGTGGTGATTCTCCTGTTTTCAGCCTCCCCAGCTCTGGGATTACAGGCGTGCACTACCACACCCACTCATTCGCCTGCGCATTGCGAATGAGGGGCCAGCACAGCATGCAGGGAATCAAACCCTGGTCCCTGTGCTTGCCTAAGCAGGCACTTAGTCTGCTGAGCTATCTCGTTGGCCCTTCACATAACATTTCAATATATTACTTTGATAAGAATAATATACACTAGTTCACAAACAATGCAAATCTTTGCTGCTGTAACTATTTCATAAAATTAGGAACATCACCAATTTTTAGTTTGTGTGATACGAATAAAAAGCACGAGAGTATTTACCATTTCAGAATTGGAAGCATTATGAAGTTTCATAGCTTTCTCTTGTACATTTCCAATGACAGCATCTGCACACAGTGCCAGGGAAATAAGCATCACACCTTTAAGAAGGCAGAGAGATGGGGTCCTTATTTACGACTATGGACTGTACTTCAGCTCTGTAAGATGTGTAAATGGTCTGAGCAACAAAAGCAGATCCTCACCATATTTATCCCGTGATACTGACTATTCTTACCCCTAGCCAGCTGCAATGAGCACACGGGTGATACTGTAGAACAGAAATGAATACTAACAAGCTGCAATGCCGTCACCATCATTCCATTTTTATTCTACACTCTATTTATTTATTTAGTATTTAGGACAGGGTGTACAGGGTCTCACTGTGCAGATCAGACTCATGGTGATCCTCCTGTTGCAGCCTAAGTGCTGGGATTACAGGTGCCTGCCACCACGCCCAGTCTCAATCCATGTCTCAGCATGCCTCGAGAGAGGGGCCAGCACGCAGGCCTGGGGATCCAACTCCTGGTGTCCCTCTGTTTGCCTAAACAGGCGCTATAATCACTGAGCTATTTGTCTAGCCCTTTTATTCTACACTGTACATTTGAAAAGAATATATTAAACTGTAGAAAAGCAGTTCTTAGAAGATCTGATGGAAACAACAGCTACTCATCTAAAGAAAAAACTACAAACAAGGGGAAAAGTCACGTGAAAGCTCTAGTACCAGAATGTTCAACTTAAAACCATAAACATGCAGGCAGCTTTTAAGGTCTTTTCTTCGGCTCCTGCCTAGAAGTCTACACTTGTTCTTTCTTCTGTATAAGCCAAGTTCATAACGCACATTCTCTTTGCTTTCCAAGTTTCTGTTTCAAGTGACATACACCCAAGACTTAGGGATTTTGAAACAGAGGAGCAAAGAATCCTCTCAGATTTGTATGAGTTCCTTCAATTTGTAGTTATTATCTCAGCAGATAATTCAATACCATTTTATCCATCTGTGAGCCCCACTGTTTCAATTAACTTAGTTTTTACAGAAACAATTCTCTCCTTTAAAAAAAAAAAAATTATGTATTTGGCACAGGGTATCAACATGCAACTCAGCTTTGTAGTGATCCTTCTGCTTCAGCTTCCCCCACGCTGGGATTACAGACATGCACCACCACACCAGGTCTTGGTGCCTGGCTTGGTGCACCTGGATGGGGCGATACAGATTGTGTACTGGGCCTCGAACCCAGATTCCAGCACTTGCCTAGGCAGTCACTTGGACCACCAAGCTATCTTCCTGGCCCAACAGTTTTCTTTTTGTATTAATGTCTGAATACTCTGACAATATTAAGTTATCATACAAATGTAATGGACACATCTGTTATAAGAGTCTCCTGCAGTGCCACGTACGTGCATGCTGGACAATAGGCTGCACAACAGGACAGTGTTCAGGATGGCTGCTCACTGGACACAGTGCTTTACAGAAAGAGCAAACCACCTGTGACTCTGATGGGTTACAGAAATTTTCTTTTTTCTTCATATGTAAGTGGTAACACATAGCAGAAAGAAGTATATGTCCATATGCTTCTCAGTCGATTAGCATTTTCTTTCTTAAAAATTTATGTATTTGGTACACAGTCTCACTACACAGCTTGGACTAGTAGTGATCCTCCTGTTTCAGCCTCCCCAGCGCTGGGATTATAAGCCCGTGTCACCACATCTAGACTCCATGGCTGGCTCAGCATGCCAGTGGGCAGGGCCGATATGGGCTGTGGGGCCGGGGATTGAATCCTGGTCCCTGCGCTTGCCTAAGCTGGCGCTTAATCTGCTGGACTACCTCACCAGCCCTAGAATTTGCAAGGCTATTCTTAAATTTGATTTTTGTTATCTAACTTTGGTATTTATTGCCTATCATACATTTTTATTCAGTTAACTTGATTTTGAATGTTCTTTTCCTGGTTTCAAATAAGGAATCTATCCTCAAAAGGAAAAATCATGTGATTTTTAAAGATCCTCAAAGGAATACCCTTACTGCTAAAAGGCAGTTCAAAATATTCCAAAAGTGTTCTCCGCAATGAAAATACCACAGAAGTACCAAAATTTGTATCCTAGGAGGAATATTTCAAAAGGAACATTTGTTTGAGTAAGTGTGAATATGGAGTTTATATATTCAAATTCTATTTATGTCTTTAATCACCAGTTTAATATCATCACCTTCAGAGAATACAGTAGAAAGGATGAGAGAAGGGATAGGTGCTTATCTATTATTCTTCATGAGCAAGCATGGTTGGGCTCCCATCCTCTAAAGTATCTTCCCGTGGAACTCAGACCAGCTGGCACCTGTTACAGAGCTGGACATGGGGGCCATCTCTTCCTACTGCTGTCATCCTTGCCACTCCCACCGCAGATGTGACTTCATCCATTAGTCCTCTACCTCACTCTATCTCAATGAGCTGCATGGGAGGCAATTTCTAATGAGTGGTTTTACTGGCAAAGTATAATGAGGTGTGGCTAATTCAGTGTCTTCTCTAAAACTGTTAGTTTTTAAAGCCAATTCTCTGTTTTCAAGTATCCTTTTCTTTACAGTCCAACATGTGAGAATGAAATTCTTACAAAGACTATGGAGAGACAGCTCAAAGTACAGGATATGTTTTCTCTGAAATCAAGCAGTGAGTACTGTGCAAGCACTCTAGTGTAAACAGTAGGAGGGCCTGCGAGGCTCTCGTGGATAGTAAAGGCTATTCCAGGAGGCAGAATTGATTATATTTAAATTCAATTTCTCAGCTAGGTTAACCAGATTAGTGAGGAAGACTGACAACTAATAAGATATGCATATATCTTACAAAGAAAAGTGAAGCTCATGTAAATAAAATTTTTCATTATCTAACGGTTTGTTTCTCATTTCCTAATGTTTTGTTTCTTTTCTCACAAGTAATTACGCTCTGTATTTGCCGATATTGCATTATTATAACTATTACTATATTTTCCCAGAGGTTCTTTGAAGGTTCAGATACCTTCAGTACTATTTCTATCAGATTAGTAGACTAGATGACACCACTTTAATCTTACTGATAAAATTCAATCATTTAAGAATACTATACATGTAGCATACACCAAAATGCTCTTTAAATATACAAGTTTCAAAACTTATTTCAAAAAAAATCAGAATGCAATTATCATTCTGCTCCCCTTATAACCCATGTTTATACTTCCAATTCAGCTCATGACAAATTAATCTATCATTTACGTGGTAAATGCAGCCTCCTTTATATTATGTCAAAATATAAGGGAACTAATAAAATGTATTTTGAGCTGCGGTATTTTTAACAGAACCAATATAGCAACTGCAAATGCTATGAGAGTTGTGAGATACTATACCATCCTTTCAAAGCCTTATGAAGTTTTAGAAAATCTTACTCTGAACTAACGTGTGTAATAAAAATTTGGAAGATAAATGACTTGCTTACCTGTCAGGTTGAAGTTTGGCGCAACTGTGCTGTCGGCAAGAGTGAACCAGACCAGGCCCAGGCTCATACACAGAGCAGCAGACACGTCTACAACATTGTACCTCTTTCCTGTAAGAAACAAAGGTGGGTACTGCTTCCTATGCCAACAGTGAGGTGCAGGGTTATTAGCTCTATCTATCCAAGTAGATCAGGGACGTGTTTTTTATATCTCATGCCAGAAATATGAAGAACACTTACATCAAGGCATGAGACAGTTACAGAACAGCTTCTGAAGAATAGAGTATCAATGGGCACTAATATAACCCTAGAAGTTAGACAGATTATATTTTATCTGTTATGATATGATTAAAGCACAGTCACGCATCTCTTAGCAACAAGGACATGTTTGCAGAAACATGACTTTAGGTGACTTTGTTGCTGTGAATAACCACACAGTACACTTACACAGAGTAAGAGCTATGATGTCACAGGAGATACTATTTTAGGGGATCACTGTCCTACATGTAGCCCATCACTGACCAAAGCACTATGTAGCACGTGGTTGTGTCTTGGCAGAAACAGAACAATAATACACATCTACAAATATTTAAGACTATGTAGCAATAAGTGCTCTTTTTATTTAATGAGTAATGAAAAACGTATACATTTTCTTTCATTGGTAAGTTTATAAAGGAATTACTACTGTTTATATACCATAGGTAACAATTAAATTATTTTACTATATCTGTATTTTAAAAATTGAAATGTAGTGCTACTTTTTGAATAGACATATATGTCTGATTTGGGGTTCTACATGTGATTTCTTTTTTTTGCGGTACTAGGGATTGAACCTGGGACCCTATGCTTATCAGGCTGGCACTCAGCCACTGAGCCATTTTCCTGGCCCCTAAATGTGATTTTTTCAATAGGGATTGAAGTAGTTTTTTTTTTTCCTATGAACCATCATCCTGAAATGATACGTGAAGTTACTGACATACATGCTTTCACATTAACAAGCTACTGGGAAAAGGCTTCTAATGTATAAGATCAGGCTGTAGAGAACTTCAGTGACACGGAGACACTTGATTATCCAAACACAAACGCTGCTCCAGACAGTTACGGTAAAGAGAAAGAACAACTTCTTTCACTGTTTGCTGCTGATAGCTTCCTCCTTTCCTCATATTTCCACACAGATTATAGCTGCGCTGGAGCACTAAGATGCTAGTAAGCCAGCAGGGTTAGTAAAAAAGCAAAACCAAAAAAACCTCAAAGTAGCTCTGCTTAGGTCAGGCGTCTCTTGGTACATAAACCGCACACTGCAGTGGAGGTAGTGTGCAGCCCTGAGGGACAGAGTGAAAGATTTGGGAAAAGAAAATGCAGGGCCTTCCCAGTAACTGCATGTTGGTGTGAGTGCTGAACTGGGGGAAATACGTTAAACTCTAAATAAAATAACATACTATTTCTTTTTTTCACTCCAAGTCCAAATTATTGATCTTGAGGAACATCAGGTAAGTATCTGTATTTTTATGAACTCTTCTACTATTATGTAATAAAATTGTGACAATGCCCACAAAGTGTACAAAAATATTATAATGTTCATGTTTTTCCTAATGCTAGATGTCATAAAGTTTCAAATAGTATGGAAATATATCATTACTATACCTTGGATAAAAACTCCTCCTACCATAACAGGAATCAGTTTGCAGCACTTGAAGATGACTTGGGTAGGGTAATTCAGGTAGCCCAGGGAAGTATTTGATAGCCCCATAGTACCCACAGTTAGAAAAGCTATTATCATGTAGGTTTTTCCTGGTATTCTGTAAAAGACAATTTTTAAGATCTTCATTTTGGGACCTGATTCATAATGCTTTAAGATAGCGTGTTTACAATGTGTAAATGTTGAATTTCTTCGCTAATTTTTACTTGCTATTTCTGGAAATATCAGTAAAAATGATTATTCTTAAAGCTGCAACACTGTTTAAAAGAATGTTGATAAAAATAACAATTTACCTTTATTTGATCAATCATAAAAGAGGTCTCGAGTATATAAAAATATAATAAGAGAGTTACGGAGGTTCTTACTGAAGGTATATGTGTGGGTGAAAGAATTAACAGCTCTAGCTATAGATAAAAATCACCTGACTAAGTTTAAGAAAAGAGAAATCATGCTTTAAAGTAATGGTAAGAAGCACCTTACCACTAACTTTTTGCAACAATTTAAAACTTTTCAGTTGTTTCCTAATATTTTCCATCTAGCATCAGGAAATACATCTATCCTTTCTAGTGGAAAAATCTAAACAGAATTTCTCCAGAAAAGACATGGATTTTAAACCTCAAGACATGACTCTGATTACCACAGCTGCACGGGTCACTTCTCTGCGGTCCCCACAATGCTCTAGTAACCTAATGATGAAGTGTCTTTTTCCTTATAATCGCTCAAATCTTTTAATTCTGCCTCTATCTGGATTTCACGAAAGAGATTTCTCTAGCAGCTTTAGAATTTTGATCCATAGAGTGAACATATGCTCATTTTGGCTGATATTTAAAGGTCTAAAATAGTAAGTGTACACACTAGTGTGCTAACCACCATAAGATACTAATCATAATTTGCTTATGTTACTGTATACTTTTATACAATTTCCATTTGGGAATTTGTAACTGTGTCTATGGCAACAAAATACCACCTTTTACACAGTTAGATATAAAATAAAATAATCTACTGTAAAAGTGCAATTCAAGGGCATCATTACACTTTGGTTTTTAAGGACCTTCTACTTCATATATAGTCAACATTCAGAATCCACTGAAAATACTTGTCCTGCCCGTCTGCAGCACCACTGCACACCAATGTTTCTACCCTGTCTTCATTAGTGAAGAACCACAGCACACATCACCATCATCAAAAATAATCTGTGAACAGTCATGGCCAGAAAATAAAAATCAAGTCCAAAGAATTGTAAGAAATCATTAGAGCAGCAACACAGTACAGGAAGAAATGAGGCTGAAGCTCTGGGGACCTAAATTCAAAACATTCCATCTGAGAGCAACTCGCCATGTGATCTCGTGAACGCTTCAGCACTCTGGCAGGTCTTTTTCTTGGTAAAATGAGAAAGTTGGCTTTGTCAGCTTGCCTCCCAGATTCTCAGTGTTTCTCTTTTATTTAATGCCCCATTTGGTTAGTATTTTTTTCAGAATGGCAGAAAAATTACAATGAAATCTCCTTCAAAGCCATTCTGAGGTCTCTATTAAAAAAATTAATAATGTGCACAAGGTAATACTTGGAGAAGAACAGTAAGTACGATCAGGTAGTTTACAAACAATATGCTTCAGCACACATAACTATAGCAAGTCTCAATAAAACTGAGAAAGTCAGAAATTCTCTGGAGGTCTTGTCAGGCCTTGTAAGAAAAAAACCAGGGCTAAACTAAAATCCACGTTTCCTAACTCAAACTCCTGTTTGCTTCCCAAGGCACTGCCACCCATTTAAATTTATAGAGATGGGGAGGCTCTACGCAAAGAGCTAACTAAAAGTCTACAGAGCAACATCACTTAAACTTGAATTGAGTGCATACCAAAGAAAAAGAAACCCATGATTGGGCATATTTTAACAAATTTTTAATACGGCTCAAACAGGGGGCTGGCCTGATAGCTCAGTGGACTAAAGCACCTGCTTAGGCAGAGTGCAGTGGCCGGGGTTCAATCCCCAGTGTGCTGTGAGGGGCCCAGCCCCCTCAACCTGCCGGGGGATGTGCTGAGACAGCAAATGAGACGGGCATGGTGGTGTGCACCTGTAATCCCAGCGCTTGGGAGGCTGAAAACAGGAGAATCACTATAAGTCTGATTTATGTAGCGAGACCCTGTAGACACTGTCCTAAATACAGGAAAGAGAAAAAAGTATGGCTTAAACAGAATAGGTTGTGATTCTTAATTGCATTTATTTCAAATCTATAAATTCTTCCAAATCCGTTTCATGTTTCAATCAAACATAAATTATTTTGATTTTTATATGTTGTGATGATTTATGGATCATTTGTTGGGGTATGCACCGTCCAACTCCCGAATTGTCAGAGTAGCCAAGAGGGTGGACTTCTACCTTAAAAGCAATCAGAGGCCCAGGAGTTTGCTGTTGGTAATGAATCATCAGGCTTTCTAATTAGTCTTGACACATATGACTATTACTTTTTATTTTATCACATGGATGGATCTGGTAAAGTTTGAGAAGCAAAATTATACCCATAAAGAAACATGCATTGCAGTTCCTTTCTCCAGGAAAAATCTTGTCATAGATTTGAATAATTAAAATTGTAGAATTATCTTCACTGAAACTTTAAAATGATTTTATGTAGAAAAGTGCAAGAAATTCCTTTTAAGGATTGAACAATTATATGAAAGAAGACAAGATGCCAGTATTATAGTCTATTATATTTTAACTGCTCAATACACATGCAGCGGTTCCCAGTATTTAGGCTCCAGGGACTTGTCAGGAAGACAATTTTTCCATGGGGACAAGGAAGGGTGGGGCTAAGAGTTTGGGGATCACTAAAAATGCACAAGCTATACTTTACAACCCAGCACAGTGGGGCTCGGTTCCTATGAGAATGGAATGCCACAGCCAATCTGACAGCAGGCAGCGCTCAGGTCCTACCAGAGGGCATGGGAGTGGCTGTAAACACAGATGAGGCCTGGCCTGCTGCCTCACCTCTCACTCCCTGCTTCCTAACAAGGACTCCTGCAGTGGCCTATGATGTGACCAGATGAACTTGTTACTTTTACCTCCCTTGCCCCCCAAAAGTTCAAATTCCTAATCTCTTTCTGTTTACAAACAAACACTATGCCATAAAATGTAACAAGACACTTGGCAAATCTAGATGCTTCATTTAAGAGACACTGTCAAAGGAATGTTTTTGAGTCTAGTAAAAATAATTGAAATGCATTCCTCTAATGTTTACAAGTGCAGATCTTGGGCTAGGGAGATAGCTCAGTGGTCGAAGCACCTGCTTGACAAATGCAAGGATGCAGGTTTGATCCCCAGTAACGCATCCTGTGACAGCCACCAAAACCAGGCATGGTGGCGCACGCCTGTGATCCCAGTGCTGGGGAGGATGAGACAGGAGGATCACTATGAGACCAAGCTGCTTGGGAAGACCCTGTACCAAATAAATAAGTAAATGATAAAAATTTAAAAACAAACAAACAAAAAAACAAATGCAGATCTCAGCTATTGGACCCTTCTTGACAATGTTAGTTGGATAAATCCCATAAAACATTTACTTCTCATTTTTAAAAACTACCACGAAAGCAGACACTGACTATCTCACTTCACCATTCTGAGGTCAGCTGCACTCCTGCAGCAGTCATGCTCATCTCAGTGAACTTTACGAAACATACATACATGTGAGCACTTCCTAAGGGTTAAGAACTCATCTTGTCACACGTTGAGCCTTTTTCTTCTTAAAACATCACACATACAGACCTTACTTTCTTCACTGTATAAAGTAAACATTTATAATTACTGTTGATTTATATTCAAAGAAGTTTTAATCAAATATATAAGATAATTTAAATTTTATGCCTATTTAGCAGGGTAAAAATGTTTTATAAAAATATGTTACTAATTCTAAAATATTTTTTAAGAAAATAAATGAATAAATAAATAAATAACATACCTTCTTCTTTTGTCCTGAATAAGCTGAAGTTCTATTAGGCCAAATATGGAGTAAAATGCAAACTGCATTAAAGTAAGGTACCAGCCATAAGGCTTAAAACCTTCCATTGAAAATATTAATTCCTGTCAAAAGACACACAAATACTGTTCAGTTCAAGGGCGGGCGGGGGTGGGGGGAGGAGATCATTTTCCTCACAGCAAATTCTTATAAACATATTAGTTTAAAAGAAATCAAGCTATATCAACACCAGCACCTACAGAAATCAAACCACAAGGCTTCTTACAGGTAACTTTAGAAGTTAGAAGTCCTTCTCAGAGAAGTGAACTAGATACCCAGGTATAAAAATCAACTAAAATAACTCCAAAGCAATAATACTACTTATGCTTTTTTTTTTTTAAAAAAAAAAAAGAACAAAATTAAAAGATCTGCCCAAAACAATGAAAATGGTGGCTGATTCAAGACATCATACAAATAACGTATTTTACTAGAAATTGGACATCTCTGTAAAAAAACTCCAATTTATGAACACCAGCATCCTATAATAAGTGCCTACAGTGGTATTAAATGCTATCAATAAATAACATATTACAAACAACAGCTGTGTTTTTACCTGTAAATATCCATAAATTAGGTAAAATACAAAAACTCCGGCAACACATATGAAAAATTGAGTAAGCTTGCTAAATTTGCTGAGATTTATGCCAAGTACTAAAACGTCATCAACGGCCTTGATGTGTGGTGACATTGTCTGGGTTTTGGGCGGCACACTGATAGAGATGTACTTCCTGGAGTTGTTGAACTTGAGATCCATTGTTCCTATTTTGCTGCATTCAGTGCTTCCAAAGTTATCTTTGTTGCTTTCCTCTTTTTCAGTCAGTCTTTCTTCTGCTTGCTGGCCCAAGTTCTACAGAAGGAAATAAGCAATCAAGATAAAATGTTCAGATTTGAAAGCTGGTCCAAATAATAATCTAAAATAACTTTAAACTCACACAAATAAACCTATTTATATATTAATACAATATTCCAGCTTCTAAACCACCAAAAAAACCCTACTTTCCAATTTACCGTTGTTCAATAAAGACAGTACACTGATTTGTACATATTTGCACAGCATTAACCTAAAAGCTAACCTAGCATTCCTTCTGTCAAAGAACTAAGCATAACATGCTTTGTATCTAGTAAATACCTAATTTTTAAAGCTCACAAATTTATATATTAAGATCAATCATCTACAGAGTAAGGACTATGTGATGGTCTATTAAATACTAAGACAATTGTAATATATATTAGGTAATGATGTTTTTAAAATAAAGTCCTACAGCTACAATATTTAAATGGCAATGGAATACCCATCTGACAAAACTAAACAAAAAAAAGGGATATAAATGAAGGATCATTCTGTATCTGTATATACAAAATAATTAGGATATACAGCTACTTTTTCTTATTTCAATGAGAAGAAAGATTTGTACTAACAGTGTTTGGACAGGCTATCATGTCTGCATCTTGCACTTTGAAAAACTACTACGAAGATAACAATATGCAATGTATTAACTATTGTAACTGTCCTACTTACCTGTTTTGAAACTGTCTCTTTGCTATTTATTTCTCAATAAAATTAATTTAAATAAAGAATAAATAACCCAACACTTCTATTACAGGTATTTTCCCTACAGCAGAAAGATGCAAATTATGACTTGTATAAATAAAATCATACTGTGATGCAACCAAAGGAAAAAAAAATAAAGTCCCACTGCTGCTGAGTTTTATAAGCTAGATTTTTTCAGGGCTAGAAAAAGGACAGTGTGCTTTAGTATCACTTAAGCTAAAAGAAAACTTTTCCCCACTTTGGAAAAAATTATTTTAATTTTAAAAGTCCATGGAGAGTAAAAGACTAGAAAATGTGTTATCTTCTGTTAGTCTCTGGAAAGAAATTAATTTTTTAAAAATTATGAAGAACCACAGACGATTCACTTTCTCTTTGGATTTATAAAAACTGAATTTCACACAAAGGTGAAGCAAAGCCTAAAGAATTATAACAATTAAAGAACAGAACATACTTATGAAGAAAAATTATTTTCCTAGAAAAGACTCATTATTACAATTCCAATGAGAGCAAAATTTATACTCTGAGGGCTAAAGTCGTAAGAATAATTCTGAAAGCTTCCCTTCAGAAAACTTTCAAAAGAAGCCTCCTTTGATGATAAGACGGTAGGAGTTAGAATTATCATTTCTAATTTGCTGATTTAGACAGATTAACTAGGCCATATTCAGCAACTTAAATGAGGGGGTCAAGCTTCTGAACACAACATGTAACTAACAATATTCAGACATTAAACATGTTTTTTATAACCCCCTTCATATTTCTAAATAAAAGTGTAGTTTTAAAACATTTTGCTGTTTCTTTTCCTGTATTATTTTCCTTTCCTCTTGCTTCTCAGTCTTTTAATCATTGTTATCTCTAAGACTTTTTATAGTATCTTGTAGATCACCACTTTCTTTATAAATTATGCTTAATCTTCTCTAAGTGCTTGAACAAAAAAATAAATGTCAAAAGAACATCTCACAATTTCAGATGTATAAGCATTTAAATAAACCCGGCAGCACATTGGTATCTAAACATCTTTTGTTCCCAAGTTCCATTTTGGAAATATACCACAAACTTTGAAATGTCCTTGTTTGTGGTTCAAGATGTCCTTTCAATCTCATGTCTTCTTTCTCCGGGTCAGATTTAGAAAATTTTAACATCCTGTCCTCTGGTGATAGCTTCCCTAACTTCCCCAGCTGGGAGAAGACAGAACTTGAAAGGCGAGCCACAAATCCTACTTGTCCAATTAACTTGTCCGTCTTCAATAACTCACAGGAGGGGTCAAGGTTCTGAACACAACTTGGAACTAACAATCCTCAGGCGTCACCATTTGTGCCTTTTGCCTCTCAAATACCTTGCACCCAATAATCAATGAACCAAATAAACTAAAACTTTTGGGTATTTTAAAACTTCTGGCACAATCATTCATCCTTTGCTTGGATATGATTTCTGAAATGGACTGCGGCATGGGCATACATTAGAACTGAAAATCTTATACAACCCACAAAATCGGAATATTTATACACATGCTTAGGATAAAACTAGGAAATCTCTTTTCTGCCTTTATTGGTATTAAAACATTTCTCCAGAAGGCAACTCTTTCAGAGTCATTTTTTTCCTGTGATGTTTGTGATTCAGCATTACGCCAAGCATATTTTAATGATTCATTATGTTTACAGCTAATACAAGGCAGTGGTACGGTATGATACTTTCTTCATGTCTTGAAATTTAGATCTAAATTCTAGATCAGGTTTTGTTATTTATATGCGCCTTTAAGTTGTCAAGGTGTTGACAAGTACAGTGTTTTCCCCAAGCGAAGGTGTGGTGGGGAAATTATTTAACTTTCCCCGGCTTTGGGTTCTGTATCTCTACCAGAAATGTTTTAAAAATGAGCCCATCATAGGAATTTTGTTTGGGCTATATGAAATAAATATTAAAGCACCTAACATATACTATGACAGACCGTATATGTTAGGTATCGTCATTTAAGTTTTCAGTAACATTCCTGGTGTGGTCTGGTATGCTGAAGGTGATTCCCTGCGTGTAGCTGGCAATGTGGCCCTGGATGCCAACCCAGGCTCCTTTCCAAATGCTTCCCCCTCCATCTCACACAAGCTCCGCTGGCACCTCACACAAGAAAAACCCAAGCATGTGCACAGTACTTTCCACTTTTCTACCCATCTTTCACCCTGTTCAATACAAAATCTAATTATGGTGCACCCTCAAGATTGTGTAAGTTAGAAGCCGAATAATGTTCTAGATTCTCATAGAACATTATCTGTATTTTAATAGATATCTACACCATAATAGGATTTTTTTGTTTTCACTGTGTGCTTCTCCTACAAATATATGAAGTCCATAAGGCAAGAGCCAATTCTCCATCATATAATCTAGCACATAACAAACATATAAGGGATCAAATGAAGGACTCCTTTATTCTTGGCAGTTTTTACTGCCAACTATATTGGATTTCAAATTATACTGCATTTGAAACCACAAGCTGATAGCAGGATGATACTTAACCAGAAGACCTTGGTAAAGGACTGAAGTTGTATGATGATATACACTCAGTTATCAAAATTCAGAGAATCGTTTTATGTGGAGCAAAGGTTTTCAAATTGTGTTCTCAAAATGGGCATGATTATGCAAAACAAGAAACATCATCAAATCAATAGAACTAAAATTTTATTCGTTTGTTGTAGCTGGGTATAGAGTACTTCTAAATTATTCTCCCTTAGATGGTCTCTCCCCAAATGCTAGAGGACAAAGAATAGCTTTAAGCTTACTATTTAAAAAATCCCATTTCATAATTATTCTGCTCCTTCCCACCGTTGAACGTCCCTACTGCTCCTGCCAATCACAGAGCTGCAGATCCAGGCTACACATGGAACTACTCACTTCAGCACTGTCTTTCTAAACATGCGCCAGAATACCAACATCTCTTCTGAATTTCCCACAAAGCACCTGGAATAAACATGGAAACAAATTCACTTCAATTACTTTCCCAAGGCACAAGTACCACGAAACTCGTCACTTACAGCCCTGCTTTTAGAAGGCAGGTGTATTACTAATCAATAAGCCTGACTGACAGATTTCTGATTCTGAGAAACTCTGATCTCTCCTGTTTGTTAGATCTCATTTCAACACTGATGGCTGATATTAATTAATCACTGGGAGAAACAGCCAAAGTCCTGATGGTGCAGGGAGGACTCAAACATGGAATTAAAAATAGTTGGCTTTCCTATGAAGTTTACTCTAACGTCTGAAACTAAGATAGAAATAAACCAAACTATGAACCACGGCTTGAGGCCTCTTTCTAAATACAAATATTTAACTTCGGTTCTTTTACATTCAGATAATAGTCGAAATAGAATTAAAGACAGAATTTCCGGTACATATTGAACATTTAAATATCTTAGTAGTAATACCGACTTAAAATGACCTACTGAAGTCAAATGGATTTCGGTCTATGTCTCAATCTAGTCTTTCCCAACTTGAGTTTTACTACAAAGGTGGACTGTAAGAAAAACGTGGGAAAATATGACTTTATTCATATTCTGACATATTTAATGTTACAAACAGAAAGATCTTACCATTAGGCCTTCAGTAAAGGCACTCTGGCCATTAATCATGTCTACAGCACATGATTATAAAATAGAAAAACAAAAATCTACGTTTTTATATATATTTTATTAAAGTTCAAGAAACGTGTAAGTTTTTGTTACTCTTTTTCCCTAAAGGGGAAAGCCTAAACTAGGGCTCAATTTTATTGAGTTATTAAGTCCGAATTACACTACCTAAATTATTTTGAAATAATGAATGTGTCTCGTTCAACGCCCAATGTCAATTCACTTAAAAAGAATTTAAAATTCAGGACGTCCGATAACCCACTGCAAAAGCAATGAAGATGCACACCGTTAAAAAAAAAA